TGAACAACACTCAGTCCCAAATACTGAATTCCATTCTCCAGCCAGCACTAGTCCTTTCTACAAAAGGATGTATCAGTGCCATCCTCCAGAAGTTGTCTTGTTCTCCACTGAGTTTGTTACCTGAGAACTCCTACAGTCACTAAATCATACTTTCCTAAATGCTGCTCTTAGTACAGACGCAAAACCTAGTACCTTATGAAGAGATCTAGACCTCTTATTCTAATTAGAGCATTCCAAAACTTGCAATAGGAAAAACAAGATAATGGTTATATTGAATAGATCCTTCAATTTATAAGATATTAGTGAATTAAATAGGTTTCCTGCATTCACTGTCACAGCAGGATTAGTACCATGGCAAAGAATCTGTAAACGATGCTTTAGCAAGCATATCCTTCTCCAAAGAATTCATAGTTTCATAGTGAACAGTGGTCTCTGCCAGAGCTGTGACATCTTTGCTATTTACCTTTACAAATTTGTCAGGATGAATGGGTTAGACTCACACTAAGCGCTGTACGTAAGGCTGCAAACTGCAGTTCCCCACTTAGATGCCAAGAGGATCTGAGTTGCATGTTCAGTAAAAAGTTGTGTTCCAGAAAATTACCTTTAAAAGGAAAAAAAAAAAAAAAAGACAGGACTCATGACTTGATTAAAATGGTTTCTTTTTAGACTTGCATCAAACACTGCGAGATAAGAAGTGCTGAGGCTTACCTAGCCAGAGGGGAAAAAAAACAGACTTGATTTAGAAACAAGCATGGACTTCTCTTTACCTCGGTACAGATGAAACTATTATATTCAGTATCTATCAAAGTTTTCTAAGATAAGAACATCACCACCTAACCAGTTCTTCAAGAACACAGAAACAGCTTAATTTGTGCATTCCTTCTAATGAATCATGACATCACAGCTGAGAGACTAAACTCAAGTCAAAATTCCCACCCCAGATAAAGGCAAAAAGGCATTTCTAAATGTCTGTCTCTACAACCCTAGTATGCCAAAGTAGCTGGAGGAAAACCAGCCACCCAGCTCTCCAGTTAGCACTCCTCCCATGGGGACCAAGTTTGTGTTGCACTGCCTTCTAAGCAACTGATCATACTCTGCACATGTTAACTCTGCGATGGGACAAGGTACAGTTAGTACGAAGATGGATGAAGTTGAGGCAAAAGCCAGAATTACCTAGATGATTTGGAAAGGCTGGGATTCTTAAAGTACAGAGTTTGAGTATTTCTGCTTGAAGGTCCTGAAGGGGAACCAATCTCAAGAGCAGTCATTTAAAGAGAGCAGCCTACTCTCCTAGAGTCAATCAGGTACAACCCCAGATCAAAGATCAGTTAAAAGCTGTTGAAAAACATGTTCTGACCAACACTGTGTGTCTCTTGATGAGGCTTCCCCCCTCATAAATGAAAAACCTTCACTGTTTGAAGAAGATACTGAATTCTCACTAACATTTCCAATGGACCAAAAAAACAAAAACAAAAAAAACCACCAACGAAACAATGCTATTTTGGGCAGAGAGGTTTACCAGACATTCTAAAAAAAATTTCTTGGCTATTACTTTACACAGAGCTGTCTTACCAAATTCACTGTTTAATTTCTGGCACCTATCATGGTAAAGATTACGCTTGTCACCTCTTCTGAGATAGCTGCTCTAGAAATAGTTACAGCAGTTATTGCTGCTCACCTGGAAGCTACTAAACTCCTTCCCCCACAACTGATTCACATTAAGCAAACCACATCACCTCACTGCAGTACAAAAAAGCTGACAACTTTGAACTATCCCTGCAGAAGACAGAGTGCTTGCTTCTAAATGACACAGGAGACCAAAGTTACTGCAGCATTAACCAAGGAGAACAGTAAATCACAATTTATCGGCACCGACTAAACAATCACTAACACTGACTTACGAACTGTTCTACACGTACCTGCAAAAGCTCAGCTCATCTGTCTACACTCTGAATTGCTCTTCCTAAGGCTATGTCTGAACTTCTGAACTGCTATTCTTTGACAAGCTAACCTGGACACTTAAAATTACAAATTATCAGCTATTTTATTCCAGATTATTTTGAAACCAAAGGAATTTCGAATTATTTTTGTTTTACACTAGACTGCATGAATTGACAGCAACACATCTTCACAATAATACAGACAGCCAATCTTTACTTTCCATACCTTCTCCTTACTTCATGCATTTACCCAGCTGTTTTCTGCATTACCATATTCTCTCTGCATCAGTCCTGCACTGTTGCCAGCATGTAAGACCTCAGCCTTATACTGAAGGTATTTTAGCCGTAATTCCAACTACCTTTTAAATATGCAACAATTAATTGCCTATCGAGATCTGAATCCAGCATTTCTCCAATTTATGCCTGTTTTATATTTCTGTTGAAGGCACTGGGGTAAAACAGAATCCCTTCAGTGACACTGAGAACTGAACAGCATAAAGCAAATTATTCCCGAGTAGTTGTTTTTTTTTGTTTTCAGACTTGAAGGAATTATTATTGAAGTCTATGTTCTAGTGAAATAACCCTTATACCTTAAGATCCTTTATTGATCATGGATTATTTATCTCATTCCACTGTTCTAGTGCTCATTTGTTTAATTTATCTAACAGAAACTGTTGTCTTAGCTTAGTTTTCATTTATAAAACTACACATAAACCAGGAAAACAAACTGAATTTTGATTTTTTTGGGACACCTATAAACACAGCAAGAAATCTTCAGCTGAATTCCAGCTTCCTCTATGCTTTAATTTTTATTAGGGACTTGCAGACTGAAGATTTCTTCTGAATCACTAGCTACATCTGATGGACCTATTCTATCTGCTTCAGATGATAATGCCTGTAAAACACTGTTTTTTATAACAATGAAGGATTTGAAATAAAATGGCTAGGGAGAACAATTGAGGGGAGGCTGCAGAAAATCATACAATTAAAAATAAGTTATTATTTCTGGCTATGAATACTTAAATTATTCTGTTAGTTAAGGCTAACTCTTCTTTGCTTAAGCAATTATAAATTCTAACAGGACTGGTATAGAACATCTGAACAGCTATATACTAACTAGTTGTCTTTTAATCGTTTACCAGACTGTGGTTCCATGCCTCTACAGCAATCAGACCTTACTGTCGCGGTCTGCTTAAAGCCAGACTTTTCAGGAAGAGTTAACATCTATAATCTCTACATAAAAAATATGTATAACTGCATAGAATACTTTTACACACACATGTAAAACTGTTTATGCTCATTTTTTCAACCAATGCAGAAGATGCTACGTGCATCAGCAGACAGGGAAAGAAAAAAATATCCCTAACCAGTGCTACAGATCAAGTTCTTCCTGCATCCTGAGAAGACTTGAAAATGTGCTTAAAACCAAGTTTTTCAAGTGAAACTTCAGTAAGATGACTGGAACGGTGTTGTCAAATTCAAACCCCATTTAAACACAGCAAGAAATCTTTAAAAAAATTATTCCAGAAACAACACTGAAGTTTCTTTGTTACATGTTTGTTAAGTGCCTTGGCTTGACATTTTGTTCTCAATATCACATAAAAGCCACTTAAAACAAAAAAAACACCAAACCAAAAGAAACACCCCGAAAAACCCAGAGGTATTATTCAATCCAAGATTTTTAGGATGAAGCTGGCCCCTGTGCTCTGAAGCCATTATCATCCTGAAATAAGCCTTTTGGCACAGCTGGATAGGAAAACTCAATTCAGTGTTTTCCAAAACCTTAATTTTTCACATGAAGTTCAAATTGAAAACCTTTTTTTCCCCCTTCATCTTTCATAGTATTCAAGATCTTCTATATACTTTTCAGACCACCTGTGGTTTTGGTAGGTAGACTACTAATTGAGAAAAATCACTAATTAAGCTTTTTGTTTTGGTAGAAGTTCTTAAAATCTTTCATCATCTCCTTATTAGCTCATGTTAACCAGCTCCTCCCTCTGCCCCCCCAGCTTGAACAGCAAGCCCAAACGTAACTTCCGCAGGAAGCCTGCACGAGACACTGCTGAGGCTGCTTCAAGGACGAAACACCTGCCATTTCCCACTTCACAAAGAGAAGATTGTAAGTCTCAGCATGACCTCTGGCACGCATACAACACATCTACAATTCACCCATCATCCTTTCATCAAAATGCATACTTTCTCATTACAGAGAATTATCACAAAAGGACCATTATGGATGTTCAAGAGAAATATACAGTGGTCCAAACAAGATTTCCATCTTCCATGTAATATTTTACTATCTTCTCCTTCTCTGACCCTCCCTCATCCACACCTCCTTGAGTTTTATAAAGCCTGGTGCCTTACATATCACAAAACATCTTTCTAGCTGATCACGTAAGTGAATTCAGTGGCTGTGACTCCAAGACAATGTAATAGGCATCAAATTAAGTTACCAAAAAGCTGAAAGCAATGTGTTTGTAAGCTTAGAAATATAAACTTTTACCTCAGTTGTAATGCCACTGGCAGCTGTATTTTAAGTATATCCCATTTTCCAGCAAAATGGTGTAAGCAAAAACCTTTGGTTAGCAAAGCAGAAATACTGCATGAACTGCAACTTCATCAAATTTCAGAACGTCATTTCAGTGAGGCATGCGCTGTTAAAGAGCCCAGGTTCCTAAATTTCAAGCCAGAGAGACTTTAAAATAAGTTCACTTTCATAGTTTAGAACCAGAACAAACCATGTCCATACTACATATTCAAATTTTTATAAAAATTAAGGTTTAACATTTATTTTACATCTAGCTTTCCACATCCATGTGGGGACAGGGAATCAGAATGTACATAACTATAAGCAGTGCAAAAGTGGTGCCAGTGTGAAGTCACAGATGCACAATAAAGTGATAGTACAAGACTAGAGAAAATGAAGCTATGGATGTTAAGAATGGAGACCAAAAAAATCAAACAAGGAAAAATATGAAGGAAGAGAACAGGAAAGAGGAGAGCTGGATGTTTAATAATGCCCTTGTTGCTGCAAAGATAAACTAATGGCACAAGACAATGTTTCTTGTAGAACAAAAATCCAATAGCAATGAGTCTTTATTCACGTTTAGTCACCTGACATGAGGAAAGTGTCTGTTGCATTAAAATAGTCATCAATGTAAATGGCAGCATGGCTGAAAAAGTCCTTTTCAATGGTAACGAACATCCCACATAAAGTCACTTCAACACAGCCTCATGACAATTCCCACATCAAAACAGTACTTTATTTTATAATTTTTTGCCTCATCATTACTCCCACATTAAGATCTTTCAGTTGTCAAGTGTACAAGGTGAAGAAAAAGGTTCTCAGTCAGCAAACACGGGTGCATCAGGAAGTATCTCCACAACACACCACTTCAGATCTGCTGGGTCCCAAGTCCATCCTTGAACGCTGGGCTCCCAGCACCAAGTGTAGCACACTACTAAGGCTACACTACTATGTTAGCTTATTAATTCTGCATACATCAGGCCGAACAATGTGTCAACCTGCAACAGACTGAGCATTATAACTGAAAATGGCAAAAGATTCACTCTATTGAACTTTACATCATTATTTGATGTTAAACAATGAGGCAAATCCCAACAGTATATACAAAAACCAGCTTTGCTTTTACAAAAGATTTTGTTTCCCATATTGATTAATCCAGGCAGCTAATTCATTGGTTTATGCAACTTTATTGAATAAAATAAATCAATTACTAGTAGAGCTATTAGTTGATCACTCATCCATTGACAACTTGCATCATTTATTCAGTGCTATATTAAACAGTGTTTTGGAAGACAGATTAACTAATAGCTCCAAGCCTCCTAACAAAATTTAAATGAATTACAAAAATGTTCTTAGACCCTATTTTGGAATACAAGGGATGTTTGACTTCCAATTTCCATTCTCTGTAAAACAAGAACTGGTCATTCCTTTATTGACATGCATAAGATACATCACATTTTCTGTTCTGCTGATGCTATAGATTCAGTACCAATTCTCCAGACACATCAGTTATGAGCAAAAGTATATAATAAAACCTCAGTTCTCTAACACTGTAAGGTTTGGAACAAGATGGATGTTGCTACAGCAATGTTACTTCTTTGATGGGAGAAAACTGAACATCCATCTCCCCTCCCCCCTTCAAGTGATATCTTCAGTATCTGTTAGAGCAGTGAGGAATGTTTGTTTTTAATCTCATAACCAAGTTAGAATGAAGACATTGGCCACATAATACACATGCTCCATTAAAAAAATTCTGAATCTTGGGCAATTGTTCTTGTGTAACTACTTTACAGATTCTAAAAGCAGTTATTGTCCAAAGCTGGAAGAACTAAAGTCTTCTCAGATGAGCATGTGCATGAATGGAAGGAGGTAAACAAAAAAATAAAAAAGATGAGGTCTGATAGGGGAGCAGCCGGATAAGAAAATCAAAAAAGGAACAGTAATTTAAAGTTTATTCCAGCTATAATGCAGGTTATTCTGACTTTAAGGTAGCATCACATGGCATACTTCTGAGTCCATTCCCGAGATATTCTGTTGTACCTGCAAACAAAAACAGGAATTGAATTAGTGTCAGCGTGAAAATTGCAATTTCTTAAACAGTTAATGATTAAGTGCCACTTAATCCCCATCTCCCTGTTCTCTTCACACTATCAGAAGTCTCTTTCTATACTTAAGACATACTTGAACTGAAAAAACTGAACAAATCCCTCCCTAGACTAACTAGGATATCCTCTGATTTATATGAAACACTTCAAATTCAAGACAAGCAGATTTGCTAGAAGTCTGTTGTGAAAAACTACTGAAAGGGACTAGAGGAGACCACCTGGGGTGGGAGAGGCAAGGGGAGTATTTTGTTTAAATATTGTCCTTAAGTAAAGATTACAGAGTATCACATGCCGTAAGTAAAGATTACTTGGTTAATAATATCACTGGATACAGAAGATCAAATTTCCCATTTCAGAGTAAAACAACACTAAGCGTTTCTTCCCACTTAATATTCTCTTTCCACATGAATATGCTGCTCAAAATTCTTTAAAAGGACATTAAAAGATTATTTAAGTACACTACTCCCACAGGTATTGAGCTGACAATTAGTTTATACTTAACTCCATGCTTGTCAGTAAGAAGTTAATTTTCAACTATACAAGCAGAACATAATCCCCATACATTTTCATAGTTTATATGTAGAAGACAGACACTGTTGAATAATTAAAAGTTGAAATTTGGATTGTCTAAATTCACCCGTGTCTATGCATGAGGTTTCACTACAGCGTGCCACTTTTAATGAAATTCTGACAAAATCTGGGTAAATACTTACCAGAACAAGTTGACAAGCTGGCTCAAAACTTGACAATTATTTCATACTAATTTTTTTTTGGCCATGCAAGAGCAGTATCTGTGAGAAATAGTGACTAGCCAATACATTTCACACTAACCACAGATCAAGCTGTTAAATATCCAAGTTCAGTAACTGGTGCATCCGTTATCTGTTAGTTAATCCAGTGCCTTAAGCATGCAGCACCCAGGTGCTGACAAGTTTCCATTTTGTTAAATGCACCATAATGTGCAGATATTCTTACCCTACAGCATAGCGTATTTCTCTGTCCACTCTCTTGCTAACCTATTGTACCTAATTGGACAAGTATATTTAGCATTAATATATATATAAGAAAAACCAAACAAAGTCTACTTCATATAATTCTATCTGTGCAAAAGGTTAAAAAAACATAAGGAAAAATAGCTGTTTCACCACAGATAGGAAAAAAAGTTATAAAGCCTTTTTTGAAGGGGAACACCAGAATTAAAGGCTAAGCTGCTACCAAAAGAAAGCAGCAAAATAACAAAGCTATCTTTTCCTCAATATGAAGATCTAACTATTCTATTTAGGCACGGTAAGCAAAAAAATTGGTAATACGTACTTTGAAATACTGCCACGCATGTGAGAAAAAGATAGTCTCCCTTCACCCACAACTTCAAATCTACTAAGCCCCTTTGTTTTTAAATTATGCACTACCAAGAATAGGTGGTACTTTGACACACAAATCTCCATTTCAGATTTTCACAAAAGGTTCTCTCAACACAACTGCTGTCTGACAATGTGCTCTTACAGACTTTGTTAAAATATTAGTCTCACACAACTCTGCACTTACTTGTCTCTGTCTGTTTTATAGATACGTGCAATCTCTGGCACTAGTGGGTCATCTGGATTTGGATCACATAACAGTGAACAAATGGATAAGAGAACTGTAAAAACAAAAAGAGAATTCTCTCAATAGCAAAACAGGAGCAATGATCTCAGAAACAACAGAGCACACATCTTTGCATTAGCACAATGTCAGCATAGGAGAGAACACAAAAAGCCTTTCCTGATATATGGCAAAAATAAACTTGTAACCCACTCTAAATAAAAAGCCCAGAATAACTTAAAAGTTCGTAAGAACTATTTGTTTCCTATTTCCCAATACTTACAGCTGTCAGTAAGCACACAGGAGAACAGCACTGTTGTCTCCCCACACTATGATGCAACATAGTGGCCAGCAAAAGCATGTTATTAGGTACTCTGATGACCAGCAGGTTCCACGGTTTTAATCACTAATACTAGAACAACTTTTTTTTTTTTTTTTTTTAAAGGGACTGAATTATTTCTCTGTTGTACGTAAGGTAGCAATACCCTGGCCTACACTGATAAACTACATGTATGTTGTAAAATATAGGAATAACACTGTTGTAGGCGGCTATGAGGACTTCATCCTCTTACAGCAGCTTTGAAAGAAAAACAATAGTGACGGCATTAAAATGTAGGGAAACCACATTCAAATCACAAACCTACTCCTTGGACAGACAGGAATTACAAGTTCTGTAGACAAAGGAGCACTCTGATGGATCTTTTGAAGCCATAGTGACCAGTGGCTTTGAGGTAAAACAAAATTCGATCATTGTGAAAATATTTGAGAATTAACTGTTATTTACTATACTAAAATGAGGAAAGTTACAAAGCTTTTATTACAGCACATCACTTTTTTCTGAAGCAGAATCAGTAAGCTTAGTTCATGAAGTAATGCAATAAAATGCCAGTGCACAGTAGCAGAAAGCAACATATAAGTTTTCTTTTACTCATCTACCAGATACACCAATGTAACTCTGCATGTAATTCCAGACAAATTCAGTCAAGAAACTATGTAGATTACTAAAAACTGATCTTAAATTAATCTTTAAATTAATATGCAAATGTGTATCTACATGGACAGCTGCAAACAAGCAGTTTCTCAGCGTTAGATCAAATACACCACCACAGGCTTGTTTCAATCCAAATGCTGGCAGATTCTTCTGGGACCAAGCTAGTAAGCTCTGCTAGAATACTGAAGCAAGTAAGTGGACAGAACAAGGCCTTAAACAGCCACGTAGCAGGTGTTAGGAAAAGCAAATATCCATTAAAAATGCAGTAAGTTATCGTTATCAAATTTGTAAAACACAGGGTAGAATGAGTAAGGGAATTGAAGAGACAGGTAAGAACTCAAAAAACCAAAGAGCTAAAAGCACAGTATTCAACACAAGATGGAAACATTTTTCCTTCACAAAAGTTACCTTTAGAAATAGTTAAAGCAGGAGACCACTGTGATCTTAGAATATCAAGACAAATGCTGCCATTACTGTTAATATTTGGATGATAGATTCTTGTTGTAAATGCAACCTGCAACAAAAAAAAAAAAAAAAAAAAAAAAACCATGAAGAGTGTGTTTTGGTCTATGACGACAATTACATCACCCTTTCTCCTCAGTAAAGCTATTTAGTCAACTCAATTTACTCTAAAAGAAAAGGATTAAGCAGTTAAACTGCATCAAATTCATGGAAATGCACCCAAGCCACAAGCTCTCAGTTTCCAATTACCAGACACTATTTCAAACAAAGAGAGGGATAGTATGAGGCTGTGTTTTAATCACAGGTGCCTGCATCATGAAGACAACACTCAGAGGTGCCTGAATCACAGTAACAATGCTGTCACAGAGCTAAAGAACTTCAAACATTGAGGTCACTCCAAGTGTGCACTTTCATATTGACTCAAAATTGGAAGACAATACTAGTGGTTAATAAAGCTACAAAAAAAAGTAAAGCATATTTTGCAATTACTGTCAAATTCTAACAGATACTATCTTCACTGATTTTAGGCACTCAGCAAGTTAATCCCTCTTCATAGTGTCACATTCCTATAGACCAACCCAAACAGCTACCCTGTAATACTTGACAGTTCCCTCAGCAAGATCCTGCTATAGTAACACAAAGCTGATAAGCTTTCCTGTCAATTAAGAGAAACAGAAGTAAAATCAAACATCATTCCAAGACATTCAGAATCCACATACATGAATTTGCTCCTAAAAGATATGCTAACATGCCCATTCTTGCAGTAGTCAGAGAGGGACCTAGCCATCTAATATACTGTAAAAATGTGTGAAAAGAAGTGAGAACTTGGAAACACTACACCACAGACACTGACAGTTTCTGTCCTGTACTCGGTTCCTTATACTAATTTCACAAATGAGAAAGCAATACCTACCTTAGGTGGTTTGAAAGGGTAGTCTGTAGGAAAGTGAATTGTCAAGAAGAATACACCACCCTGATATGGACTGTCATTCTGTCAAAGCAAACAAATAATTCTCCTATTATAATCTTTAGGACTAAATATCACTGAAGATGTTGTTTTTAAATAAATAAAAGGAGAGCATATTTGTTTAAACAACTGAATTGTTTAATCCACCAATGAGAGAGATGCAACTGAAATTCAATTACTGCTTCCTAAGGTAAGCAATACAGAACACACACAGGTCACTTTCTGTATGGACCTCTCTCTCTCCAAGCTAACACTTCGCAGGAAACAGCTTCTCTGACAATCCTCTAAGGACAAATTGGCAAACGCATTCGAGTGCTTCTGAGATCTAAGAAGAAATGTTAACAGAGTGAGGGTGAGGGTCCTGTTAGGTTAGAAAAGCTCAGGTTCTGTGTTTGGCGCTTACTTGTTACGACCACCCAAGTTTACAGTGGCCACAGACAGCTCTAAGAGCCTCCCATTCCCTCCTAAATTCTGTCCTTGTCTTAGGCACTCCTCAGCCCTGCGGAAAACCTATGAACACACAGCTAACTCCTTTGTTCCTTGCATAAAACCCCAAACAAACAAACAAAAATTGCACCCTACCAGCACCACCAAACAAAAAGCAAACACCCCATCAAGGTGAAAGTGAATTCTTCCTCCCTTTCTGTATTAGAAGTTCACTGTAATCTAGCATGGAAGAGTATTTTACATTTCCCTGCTCCAAGGAAACAATCATGGGGACAGTTCTATTTAGGGGTTAACTATTAGCAGTAAAGCAACGTGTGGAAGTGAAAAAGCTCACAGTAAACAGGGCACAAACGGAATGACTAAATAGAGACCGCGTAACTCACTAGCTAGAAGGAAGACGTAAGAAGTTTTATCTTGAAACTACAACTAAATTTCTGAATTGGTTTAACCTATTTTTAATTCCAGATTCAGGGCTAGGGAAAATTAATCTGACAGACACAGGGTACACTTCTGAATTATTCATAAATTGAATTTTCATATTAATTGCAAGAACATTTCACCAATGTAAGAACATAACTACATCTTGCTTACTTAAGTGCCAGAAAATTAAATTCTGCAACATAAGACAAGGGACTCAAACAGGCAAACATGAAGGTTATACCCTATCTAGTCTCTGATGAAAACCTAGCAATCAAGATACAACCTCTTCTATTTGGTCAACAGATACTATGTGAGGCCCTGAGGAGCCAGAAAGCACCCCTTTTACTGCATGTGTTCTGGGGATACATTTTAGTAATTACAGAAATGACTCTTAGAATGTGTTGAACTAATGCAAACTCTCTTACATCTATCTAAGAAAATCACAGCCTGTAGAGTATCCTATTGCAGAGGTGGAAGGCCAGATATTGGTTCAATGATCCTCATCTGTTATTCAAGGCACTAATCAACACCATAGGAGCACTAGAACTACTAACACCACACTTCTGTCAGGATACTGCCCCGTCTTGAAAGGGGAATGCAGACCTTTTGACACCACAAAAACTATATGGGAAAAAAAGAGCTGTATAGTACTAAACCGGAAGGGAAAGGCGAAAACAGTAATTCCAAGTTAAATTCAACTGATGTTTAATACCTTATGACCACACAGACACCAGCCATGTAAAATCATACTCTGTATAGTGCAGAACATTCCTTGTCATTTAATCATGAATATAGCTCTTAAGCAATTTTATCATTTTGAGACACCTAGTTACAATCAATGAGAACCAGGAACTTCAGAACAGAGAGCCATTTTTCCAGTCAGGTAAACCTCTCATAAGCACATTTTCCATAGCAATCACCTAAAACCACACTTGTAGCTGTATATAAAGTCAGAGCAACTCAGCACCACTGATACTTAATTCCTACTCCGTACCCTCATCAGAAGCATCACATTGTGGCTGCAGGTCTACTGGCATGCAATATTTGTCTTCTCAAGTTACAGGAGGTTTTGTTTTCTAAATACAGATAGCCAGCCCTGAGAAGTCCAGATGTCAAGTGTTTGCAGGTTATGTTTTCAGTGAAGACAAACATTTGCCACCTTTACTCTAACAAGGAAAAAGTCACATTCATGTTTCAGATGCTTACTGAACATTTAAACATAGGCTTTTTTCTTCCAGTTATAACTGGAGCCTCACATTTCAGTGACTTTTTCTCTTCTATTCCTAAAATCATTGAAGGTCTCAGTACAAGACAGCAGACCAAATAAGGATGCCCTGTTCTGTTCTAAGATTCACACAAAAGCATCCCAACTAATTCCTGACACTGGGACCAGCTCCTAGTACAAAGTTCATGCTAGATTCAAACTTAAGAAAAAGTTAAATGCAAATAAAGTTTCTAGATATTAAGTGATAGTGCCTAGCATTGCTCTAGAGATCATTTCAGCTGAAATAAATGTCCTCATATAACATGCCAACAATAAAATAATCAGACTGATTTTTTTTTCCCCTCCATTTTCTGTTACTGCAAGGAGTACCTCTAGAACTAAAGCCTGGTAAGGGGAGTTAAAAAAAAAGTAAAACAAAAAACCCCAGAGTTTCCTCCTGAGTAAGAACTAAGTTAATATTACATCACAAGAATTAGAATACTTACAGGTCCCATAATTGTGGCTTGCCAATGAAACACTACAAAAGAAAAACTCCGCATTATTATCTATGTATAATATGCTTTGAGTTAGCAGAGCAAAACATAAAACTTAAGATTACTTACTGTCATCTCCAACGGGACCTGCTGAACACTGTGCTGGAGGATCACGGGCTAAGTCACTAAGTTCCTTTAGGAAAAAAAGAACAAAGACAAGAATGTTCAGAGAAGGAACACTAGTCAACTCAGTCATTTTCACTTCATGCCCAACAAAAAACTTTAACAGTTTTCCATATACAAACACAGAAGAATGTGCAATAACAGCGATGAGAACCACTAGATCAGTATCAAACATGTCTTTAGAAAGAACAACCACCACCAAAACCAGCTATGAAGGTAAACAGATACAACGACTATGCTTTTCCAAATAAATATTACTATTGTAAAGATACCCCTGCTGCAGAAGGGACAGAAAGGAAAGCAGGACACAGAGCCTGAAGTGGGCAAAATCTAACCACTTTCCAAGATTTTCAGTATTCAGTCCTAGCAAGAAGCCTGAAGTGAGAAGAGAGAAAGCTACTTATGAGTCTTCACAATACAGAAGAAACTCTGTATGTGACATCTGATATTAAAACTCAGAACAGAAAGAAAAAAAAAACCCAGCACTCAGTTTCATATTTTCCCCACTACCTCCAGCTGGGACCTATCTTGCACAGATTAAAGTAGACAGGAAAATGAAAGAGGCTGACAAGTGTTGGAATCAGGCAAAATATCGGTATTTTTTTTATTTTAAACTTCTCATTTAAAGACAATTATGCCTTTAAAATTCTGAATAACTAAGCTGTAGGAACTGTTCCCTCCCTCACCCATTATGGAAGGAATGAAAACAAACTTCAGATGGAGGATTCCTTGTGTAATATCAAGATTGCTGTAATGAATCAAAAAAAGCTCAGTGTTAATCTGTTTAAATGCTCTGCAAGTTACTTGTTTGGACAGTGTCTTAAAATTAAATTTATTTTCAATTCAAGTATGTAACAGACACCTCCCCTCTTCCCTGCTCTCTTCTGAATCTAAAAATGGCTTCAGGAGCTTCTATAAATCTGCACTTGTCAGGGCATCTAGAAGTCATGAGAAATGGGAAAACCTTCAGTCCCTCTCCTATATATTAACAGTTGCACACAAGGTATTTTGCTACAAGTCTATACAAGCCATTAAAACAAGACCTTTCCATTACTTTGTCAGGACATTTAAGAAACCCAGGCATTCCTACTATGCTGGAAACACATGTATATTTGGACCAGACAGTTAAATATTTTGTCTGGGAAGATCCTAATGTATATCCTTTAAATTTCACAAATTCTGTGCTTGATAAAAATTTAGTAAGTGTAAGCCAACACAAAATGAGGAAAAAACCCCACTATGTTCCCTGTAACTTAAAGACCTTGTTCTTTGATAAGACAATAGCTGCTTCAAACACAGAGAATAACACTATTTCAACATGTGCAAGTCCATACATTCAAAAAAACCAACCCCAAATTCCACACCAAAAAAAAAAAAGCCCCCCCAAACTACCAGGAAAACTTAGTCCTGCATTTTCCCTCCCTACATATGCCAATCTTGATGAATTTTCCAATTAACCAGGTTTCAGTTCTGCACTGGAATCAGACTGTTTTGTAAAACGAAATTGTATCAATTTTGATTTGCAATAGCACAATTAAGTTACTATTATGGTTAATTTCACTGCTGCTGTTGTTTACAAGCGTGGGCAACACATTCCACATCATCACAGTGAATCCATTTAAAGTGCACTCCTTTACACTCCCCAGTTATTATTGAGGTCCCTGTAATATACTTATTTCTGCCATGAAATATCACTTACTAGGTCCATGTATTGTTTTGCACATTCCAGAAAAATTTGCTAAGTTAAATTTATATTACCCACATAAAGGCAAACAAGAAATGTAAAAGAACCTTCACATAGAAAGCTTTTTTAACTTTCAGGGTGTGGTGGGTTTTTTTTTCCCCATTTAACAGCAGGTTTTGTTAATCAGGCTTAGTTCTCATCTAAATATATTTTCCAGCTCCAAGAATGATCAAACATTTCCAAAATCTGTGCACAAATGTTCCTATTTTAATGCAGTTGTGCAGTTACTACTGGATTATGTGTTTTAATTGGGGAAGACCAGATCCTATTTTTTTAAAACTATCACAGGGACTGAGAACTATGAAAAGGCTCTTCATGCAGTTTATGAAAACTGAGTAGTATGAAGAGAAGGACAAGAAAAAGATCAGCCTAAGACGGACTGTCAGAGGTATGTGCATTAGACTAGAGAGCTCTTCAAAATGTACTCAGAGAAACAAGGGATCAGTACTCAAGATAAAAATAAGGTATTTTAACACAGTGGGAAAATTAGAGTATATATACACATGAGTATTTAATATTCCAGTCTCCAGTCATTTCAAAATACATGTCCAGAGTTACTCCTTTTAACTACTTGGACTATTCTAGTGAACAAATAAGCAGTGATTTTCATAAGCTGAAGGACTAAAGTTTTGTCTGGCCCGGAAGAGTTCAGTAAAATAACCCAATTGTGCTAAACAAAGCAGTTCAAAATACAGATAAGGTTAGGAACACATGATACACCACTTAGCATTTCAACCACGGGGCAAGTAATTTACCCACTAGAGTAAAGCTTGTAGTAAAGCTGTTTGCTTCAGCAGAATGTGAAGTGTTGTGGAAGAACTCGAGCAAACATGAAACCAACACTGGCAAGCTTTGCCTGCTTACAGTAACACCAGACCTATTTTGCCTCCCTGTTAAGTGTGTGACACTTCACCACATCTACACAAAAGCAGGGAGGCTTTTTGTAGCAAGGGAGTGGAAAGTTCTGTGTAACTTTAAAAAGTGCTTCCTTCTGAAAGCTATAGCTCTGCCGAATCCAATGGGCAAACTGGAATAACTGGAAACTAAACAAGCAGAGGCACACAGGCTGTGATATATGCTGTGCAGCTGAAGCACTTCATTCAAGGAAAGGGAGGAGCTTTTTTATTTTTTTAAAGCTTCCCACTCAGCAGCAGAAACGCAAACTGACCTTCCTTCTCAGCTTAGCAATCAAGAGCAACTATTCTGTAACAGGAAAATATTTAATGTGAAAAATATTTATGAGATCAAAACTAAGCTTCATAATTCCAATAAGCCAATTAACAAATTATTTTTAAGAAATCAGCTCATAATTGTTCCCCTGCTTTCACCTGTCTCCTCACCGAGAAGGAAAAGACCACATTAAGTTTCATTTTACAAAGCAGTGTTTAACTAGTATTTTAGAATTTAACTAGAAATTTAGAATTAAAAAATGTTCCCAAGCATTGTTCTGTAAAATATCTACGTACAAGGGCTTTATGCTTCTAATATTCCTCCTACTGCAATACTTACTATCTCCAACTTTGCTTCTTTTTGTTTACACTCAGTTTCAGTAGCGCTTCCCTTCATCAAGAGGTACTAAGCTACTTCCCAAAGTTTCTTAAAAGTCCCCAAAGTAGAACCCACGTTTTCCTGGAGTCAGCTGCTAGAGTTTTTCCCTTCACAGGTGGCTTAAGAAAAAAAATACAAATTTCCAAGAAGCAAATTCCAAAGACTTTACATAGAAACAACAAGCCAAATTTGGTTCAGGGTGATGTGTTATATGCCTATCGGAAAGGATTAGTCTTGAATTACAACCGTGACTAGTAGTCTCTGGCACTGCCAGAGGCTTCCGGTATAGCTCCAGCATATCACCATTTCTGTGTCCCAGTTTCCAAATATAAAGTTGTGATAGTTCCTACCTCTCCGCAAGGATGATTAGTCACTTAGCATTTTACAGATTTAAACACTGTTTAAAAGAGTAAGCGCCAATGCTACTGTTAAGAGGACAACAGCAATGTAGCATATACAAGAAGCAACACATGCACAATTTTGCAACAGTTTTGGAAAACAGGTATCTGGAAATACAGCAACAGCACCCATCATGGCAACAGACAGACCTACTTTAACACAAATTCAGCAGCATGGTCTTCTGCCAGTATCACATTAAGTCTGTAGCAAGATATAGTTTTACTGGTGAAACAGAACCATTCTTAGTATTTGCTGTTCTCTTTATAACATTCATCAAAAAGATAACCAAAAAATAAACCAGTATTTTCAAGGAAAAAATGCTTATAAAATCTAACTGATCTGCTTGTTTTGCACAAATATAATCATAACTAACATAGAAAATATGGCTTATGCTTCAAGTGATGATCCAAAGCATTGACATGTGAGTGTGAATGCAGAACTAAGCGTCATTTTTTTTTTCCTGACAGAAAAGCTGCTAAAACCCCCTCAAACTACTCCTTTCTACCAGCTATTTAAAAAGATTACAGAAGTCATTTAAAGGATAAAGAAAATTTGAAGAATGATAAATCATACCTCATCCCGATATGCATGAGCAAGACAGTGAAGAAAAATATTTAAGGGAACCAGTTGCTTTTCTCACAGAAGTTTTCAGATTACAGCAAATTTCGTGAGAAATGACATCCTGATGCCTACCAAGCTGCCTTCTTGCAAGGTACCAAGCAGAGCAGCATCTGTGTCGGCTCCTTTTCTTCCCATTTGTCAGAATTCATACTCCCTGTGGCACCACTGCTACATTTTTCTAGTTTAAGCTGGAAATAGCCAAGGCTTACTTTTAATGATAGTAGCAGCTGACTTAAATAGAGTGGCAGAAGATGACTCCCACCAGAGTAACAGAAGATTACTTATTTTTCTCCACAGGCATAAACTCAGTTAGATTTAATATTGGTTCCTAAAGATTTCATACTGGTTTGGTAACACAATTATTTGTTAAAATCATATATTGCAGCTTTCTGGTTTGTAGTCAAGAAAGCATAATGGAGAAAGCGAGGTTAATTTGCTTTAAGTTTCCAAGATAGTAACTCGTTCTACCTTGGAGGACACAAAAGGTGATACACAGTTAAATCAGAAGTTTAAATTTAAAAAAACACAAAGAAAAAAAGAACACTTAAGCCAAACAAAAAACAACATTTATGCATTTGAGTGCTTGTCTAACCTTGTCTGTGTCAAACACGATACTCCAAACTCTAAGCATTCAAAACTTCACTGCATTAGTCTTACTCATTAGCTCACAGCTGAAAACAGCTTTAAAAAAGAAGGAT